TATGCAATTTTGATTACCTCTAATTACGTATGATTCAGAAAGCTTTAGGTGCTATTTTACCATAAAAAATCATCACATCACCCTATTAGACTTAAAATACAAGTTCAATATTCAAAACCCTATGAAAAAGAACAAATTTTCTAATCTATAAAGACATCTAAAAAATTAGAAAAAGCTATAAAAAGAGGTGTTTCAAACCTAATCTAACCCTCAACGCGTAAATAGCAATAAACACAAAGGCTAACCTTAATTTTTCAGATTCAATGTCATGAGGAAGAAGAGACAAAGCTTATAATCTTCGTTTGTTTTTTTTCTTTCCCCTAGAACACACCACGAATAAGAAGGGTGATGACAAAGAGAGGAAGAAGAACACAAGTTTTATGCGGATCTTAAAGCTGCTTCAATGCTGCGGATGTGGAGAAGAAGAACGGAACAAGGTGCTCTGTTTTTGTTCTTTCGACGGAAAAGAAAAACGAAGAAGAAGATGACGTGGAGAGGATTTAGAAAACTAGGTTTGATTGGTTGTTTTTTTTTAATTAATAATAGCTGTTAGGTAATTCATTAAAAGAGAATAAATAGTAATTAAATAATCAAGAGTAAAGTAGAGAAAATTATGGGTTTTGACAAAGAGGGGTTGTTAGAATTGAGGAGAGATTGTTAGATTTGAGATGAAGAAAAAGGGTTTAAAGAGAAATTGATTCAAAATTTTGGGACCCTAGGCCCAACCTTCATTTGGTTTGGCTGAGGGCCGGTCCTGGTTATACACGAGATAATAATGATTAACAAGTAAAATAAATATATTTTTAGCTATAAAAAATCATTTATATTTATTGGGAAAATTATTATACATAATCCAAAAATATAAAATAAATTGTATATTTATTGGGTAAAATCGTTTATATATAAATTTTGCATCCAAATTTATAAATCGTGTTTGTGAAAGTGACACATAAGCAGAAATTACTCTAATGTTTCTCTTTTTATATATAGAGGATATGTGAAAACTCTAAAACATACAATTTTTTTTAAACAAAAATACATACAACTTTTCGGAGCGT